CCATACAACAGTGACGTAGAATACGTCAAATTACCGGCACACTGATTTTCTCCCTAACAAAAGCTTGTTGAATCCGTCAGCTACAAAAACATTGAGTTGGAATATCCAACCCAAGTCAAGTTAACTGTCGCTTGTAGATTTCAGTGAGATGAAACTCCCGCCTGAACTTCGAAGCGCTCTACTGCCGGTAACAAACGAACTTCATGGCGGCAGTTTAAATATCCGAGCGTTGAATATCACCGTTATGTGGAGTCTCGTGAACTAGAGGCTTAGGAAGATTTTAATGCGATTGCAGTTCTTGACCGTTGAATAAATGATAGTATTAATTTGAGGCTGACAAAACGGTTTTTCGAATACATTTTATGGACGTATGGTGGCCCAGATAAGAAACGAGAATAAAGGATAATGCAGCTGACGTCTAAAGAGGCGTGCAAATATTTAGTTTTAACAAGACAGAGCAGTCAAAAATTAAATTAAATCTTCCCACCAAAAAAGTAATGAAAGCGTATGCAATAACTCCTGTATACCATACTCTGAAGTTCTTAGTGAGGATTCCTAAATACAACTGGTTATTAAGCTCAACAGGCGGAAGTCCAGCTTAGCGGCGCGGAATTCAGTACGCTGAAGAAACAGAACGCAATGTGATGGGTCCTAAGAAATACTTTTTTATATTCCCAGTTAGTCGGATTTGTTCCGTAATTGCATAAACATAAAGTGAAAAAAATTCACCAAAAATCTTAGCCAACCCGTAAATACTCGGGACTCAGATACGGGGACTTCGCAGGTAAATGTTTTGGAATAAAGGTAAGGATAATTTAGAACCTTAGGTCGTGAAAGGAGAGAGAGGAATTTTAACGCTTAATCTTCCCAGATAATGCCCGAGAATTTTCGCCACTATTTTCTAGATTTATTGAAGAATTTGCTAACATGGGGTATCATTTTTTGTTCAGTGCTGAAGAAAAAAGCTGGTGGTTTAACAGATGGAAACTCGTGCCAGATGAAGCAAAGGCAAACTATCAAAAACACTTTTTTCAATGACTGAACGAGCATTTATGATTAGGCGAACCGTCAAAGTAAACATCTTCCCCAATCTTGTCATCAAAGCACTTCATGTGCAACACACACTGGGTCTTAGCGACAACCAGTCAAAAATAATTTTCTGCTTTGATATTTGTCTGAAAGAATCACCGATTTCAATAGGTCTGCCATAAAGTTGCTGGCGATATTTACACACACTGAGAACACTGGTGACACGATCTTCTCTAGCTTCCGTTGCTCGATACTAAGAAGGTCAGAATTGAAGTTGAAAATGATGAGAAAATATTTCTGGGGCATATCCAAAGAACAAGATTCGTCCTATTACTGAGCACAAATTTCCCGTAGGATTTTGAACCGCCATAAATTTAACACAATTTCCGTCCCAGAAATAGTTTGCAAACCCCTTGACTTAATCAGCCTGTTGGTCAAATCTGGCATCCAGAACAGAACATTTTTAAATACCATCGGAAACAGTAGAAATCGCCTTCCAAGATATCATACATCTGCGCAAAAGATAAGATGACTCCTCAATTTTTATTTCGGGTGATCTGGAGCTGAGGCTGAACTCACTCCGATTTGAAGGTGACTTTCCAGCTGAGCGTAAATCTCACCTCTTACCGGAATGTTCCATCGGTTGACCGGCGTGGCTGCTGTCTGAAAAATCCGGTACTTCGATCGTGAGACACACATGAGGCAGGACAATCTGACTCCACCCTCTCCTTACAAGCATTGAACAAAGAAGTTAACTGGTGAAATACAATTATATCGTTCTCATTACTTGCCAAATGAGCCATTTGGAGACGAAAGCATCCTACTACTCACAAAAGTTCAGCGACAGAGGTTCAAGTCAATAACGGACATCAGTACCCTATATTCTGTCATCGTTTTGATATGTTGTCTCGGATAAAAAAGAATAATGGTAATCTTCCTCCTACGACACAATGACCATATGACTGGAACGCCTCAAAGTAACAACAATGCGGTCAACATTAAATGTGGCGTTGTAGAGCTTATAACGCGCATCAAATCTTCAGTTGCTTTCCCTTCTAAGTTACTTTTCAGTTGTCGAATTTCAAACTACACTCCTAGGTCATCTGGAGAAATGAGCACGTTCAAACTGATCCCTTAATTATTTGCCAGGCAAATAGATATTTTTCGTTTTGTTCTTGAACTTGCGGTAGACTGGTGATGAAATACTTCATAATTATTCTGCAATTATTCTGCAAAGCAAAAGTCGTTGGTTGAACTTCTGGCGGGGTGGATAATTTGGAACAGACTGCTCGTGGTGCTTCGTAAATTATACATTCCAACAGTGACAGCTTCGCCAAATGTCAGCGTGTTGTCAATTCGCACGTTCGGATACATAAAAAAAATCCGACGCAACCCCGTTCAAACCAAATCGGATGCAGACAAACAAAACATCAATGGATGTTTTCCACAACTGACTAAAATCAGTTGACTTTTGGGAGGCATACTTGGCCAGTCAGAGACACTGACGTTCGCCGAGTCTTCTGTTGCAATAAGGATGACTTTCCGGGAGAGACGAGTGAAAAAACATTGATTTTTACAATATGAATTTGGACGATTTAATTATAACCAAAATTATAGAATATAGAGGCAATGAGTGTTTATTGTAGACCGCATCAAAGGGACGCTACGGGAACGCTCAAAAAGGTCTACTTAAGCGTCTTAGCCAATCGCGTGTTTGAATGGAAACTTGTAAGCAGAATATTTCTTCACACTTGGTTTTATTAATGACCAATTCAACAGTGTTTGATAAGTGAGGGCCTGCACACCCTCTCTTGGTTACCAAATTTTGGCACCATTATTTTATATCTCATTAAAATAAGAATTGCTTTAGATCTGAGGAATTCCAGGTATCAGGTTCATCAGCGTGAATAATTTGAAAATATTCGTATAACTGCATTGTATGAGTACATATTGAATATTCTAGGATGCATTCCAGTTTGGTGCGTTCGCTTGGGCTGTCGGTATCGGCCTTGATGAAAACTACTGGTTTCGCTCCAGATATTCGCCAAAGATATACGAAAGTTTAGCTCCGGGGTTTCATCAGTAAAATAAGCGGGACGTTTTTACCTGAATCCTGAAGTTGTTGGGCATTTCTCACCTGAAATAAGAATTTGCGTGTCTAAAAATTATGTGCTTCCGAGTGCCCCCCACTGAAGATGTCCAAATAGACTTGGATGATGGATGGTCCCTGTCCGGTGGACCATAATATTCTGTAATACCGTGGGTTAAATATAGCCCATATCGCACTATTGTTTCGCCATTTACCCGGTTCTCTTGTACCAAGTTGAAAACCTAAACAGTTTACTTTTCCCCACGGCGTAGAAAATGTACGGTCATGACGAAATCAGTGGCAGAAAATTTCAGCCATGCATGACAAAATGACAAATGGTCACATGTCAGATATTTTTACCTGAAAAAATAACTTTGACTACTTAAGTGTTTTTATCCTGTGCTCCGGCGCATGACGAAAAGTGGGTCCTCCTGAAACCGAACCATTTAAGAATCTATTTTTAACAAAAGATGCGCATTTCGGATAACCGAAAAATAGCGAAGCAGATGTTTTTGATTAATAATGCTCGTAGGGCTTGCCGAATAAACTATGAAGTCACAGAATTCTGAGATACATAAATTTTCGTAAAGGAATCTGTTCACAAGAATGACGAAAACATTTTTGCAGTTCACGACTGGTTCTGTGCTACTTGGGCTCATCCGGTAAAAGTGTAGTCTTTGAGTTATTGTCAGCTTTATTTTCCATATGAACTCCAAATTGGATGCATTATGACAAGTACACTCATTTTCAGATTGATCTGGTTTTAGCGGAAAAAATGAACTTGAGAGAATCTCGTGCACTGCGCCTACTTTATGAGCCCCAAGAAGAGCAAAATAGATCGTGGGTTGTCAAAGAATTTTCAGCAAACTTGGAAGTAATTTCCTTCATGAAAATATGGTTCTGTATCTCGAAGAGCTCGCCAATGAAAACACTGAGTGGCCGGGTTTTTTTCAGTTGTCTTTTTTACAAAAGCTTTTCAATGAAAAGTCACCTTGGGTTTTGTGAATTTTTTCCATCTAAAGGTTTTGGCATCGCGCTTTCCTAATTTTGCACTCCCACACTTGGTCATGTTAGTTGAATTAGTTATCTGGGAAATAAATCCACGATTACCAAGTCCTTAACCAACGTTTTTTATTTTTCTGATCGAAATTGCATTTCACATGTGCTGATACCCTATCAGAAGGCCAAAGCATGCCATGATAAACCCGTCAGTTTTTGAAAACAAGAGAGAAATAGCCAAGGGCAACTTGGATGGTCTGCTTGATTGCCCAAGCTCTCATGGGAAGACAGAAATATTTGTTGTTACTTAGCGCTGATTAGTATTGAGCATGATAGAGTAATGAGCAGATGTTTTTATGTCCCAACTTTTGGTCACCCCAGGCGACCTTTATCTTGATCAAACTGATCGAGTTCGCAAAGGAGTAAATCAAATTTGGCATCATCATCATCATCATCGACGGCATGACATCAGTTTTCAACACCGATGCTTCACTGCCGTACAACTGTGATTTATTTGAAAGCCTTATTGTTAAGAAAAGAGTAAAAGCGGACAGGGAAGGGACTTTGTGCTAGCTTAACACAATCATTTCGAAGTGCCTACACCTCCACCTGTTCACTCAGGCAATCTGGATAGAAACTGACAACAAGAACGCCACTGACATCGGTTGGCAGCCATATCTTGTAGTGTCTCCAACCAGGCACA